GTGGTGGCAAAGGGGGAGGAAGAGGAGGAGAGGGAAGGGGGGGTTGTGGTTATGGTTTATGACCTCCAAGGTGAGCCGAAAAATGTTTTTTGTGTGTGTGTGTGTGTGTGTGTGTGTGTGTGTGTGTGTGTGTGTGTGTGTGTGTTTCAAATCCCAGAGTCGCCGCTGCTGAGCCGCGGGATGCTCATGACCTCACCGGCCATGAAATCATGCTCGTGTCCGCTTTTTCACGTCTCCAGCAGCCGCCACCGTGAAGCCGGCGGGGAAAAAAATCCACAAAATCCAATCCCCGAAAATGTGTTCAGGACCACGGACAGGGGCACCGGCGGGGTCTGCGGGGAGGGAGCTCGTCCAGGTTTTTTGGGGCTCGGGGAGGGGAAGGAGGAAGAGGGAATGGGGGGTGGGGGTCTCGTGAGGAGGCTAGCCGCTCACAGGCTGCTGCTAATTGATACGCAATTACACCCAATTACTCTTAAGTCCAGTCTGTGCGATCCACAGCGGTTACAGAGGAAATACGACATATTCCTTCAGTGGTGGAGAGGAGGGGGGGAAAAGAAAGACGGGCTGCTGCGCCTCGGCGTCTCCTGAGGTAAAACTGTGCATGTGTTATATTCCACACAGAGGAGAGCTTTTTATCAGATATGCAGGTTTGTCTCTCACACGCATCCCAGAGGCAGCCGGAGCGTCGCTCTGGATCCGTGCGTATCGGCTGCTGTTGCGGGACTCCCGGCGCTGCTGCTGCTGCCGCTGCCGGAGCTGCTGCTCAGAGAGGGAAGTCTGCCTCCTTTTCCTCTTCTCCCTCTCCTCCTTCTTTACCGCTTCCTGCTTCTCGCTCTTCTCCTCGCAAGTGTATCCCAGGGGCGAGTAGTAGTAGTAGTAGTAGTAGTAGTAGTAGTGATACTTGGCGCTGAGGCAGCACGGCTCAGCTACTCCCATTGTCTGGTGGGCAAGTTGGAGACGCACCGGCGGCCGCTGCTGCGCTCCGCACCCGCTCTCATCCGGGCACCGCTTCCGTTGGAAAAGACAACAAAAAAAAGAAAAAATGAAAATCTCAAAAATTGTCGGATCCCCCTTTGGGAGAAGTGAGAGTGTTACAAAAACGTAGCCAGCTGTGTGTCGGACGGATGTGGACCGTCTTCCATGCCAGGAGAGCGTCAGTGACACTGGCCCCGTAACCGTCGCACGCACGCACTCAGGACGCACACTCACGCGCGGAGGTACAGTGTAGAGGGAACAGCCAGCGTCGGCGAAGCTCCGACACTGAGTTTTCTTGCTGCAGTCATTTAGCAAACTCCAAAAAAAACGCACCTCACAGCGGACAGACACGCCCACCAGGACGCTGCCATTGGCTAGCACGGTCCCCGAAGCCCGTCACCGATTGGCCGGCATAGGTGTCACTGGCTGAACGCGAGCTCTGCGCATCAATCCCCTCGGAGAAATCCCTGTAATAAGAAGTTATTGTTGAGTTTACAGCGACCTCACAGACATATCGCGTTCTCAGAGAGATATGATGTAAAGGTGTTGTGTCTGTCTGCGCTGCTTATCTTATTCTCAGAGAGAGGAGGGCTTCTTTTCTCAAACGCAGGTTCAAAGAGCTTTACACATGGAGGAAAATACATCTTTGAAGAACATAATAAAGAGGGAAATAAAAGCAATGACAGCAGAAGAAAATAAAACGCATTGGAAAAATATTCGAAAAGGAGTATGGGTTTCAGTGCAGTGATTAATTGCTCCACATTTAACAAAATAAATAAAACAAAACGTTTTTCATTTAGATGTATTATCTATTTGTTTGTGCATTATGTCTTGTGCTGGTCTGTATTTTATTATGTATCTAATGGATGGGCGGCGCCTACATCGAATTAACTTTGAATGTTGTGGTATGATAATATTTGTCCTTATACAAATTCATATTACATAAATGGAACTTGTATAATGAATAATATATATCACATCGTGGATTATTGTGTGTTTCTGTAGAATGAACTGAGAGTACACTGTTCTCCCCCACGTTTTACATTGATTGCATGTTTGTTGAATGGACGAGGCGTCTGCGTTATTTTGTTTTCACTCTATCAAAGCGTTTCAAAGCTGCTTTGCCAGGTGTTACTGTTTGTCTGTGGACACATTTGGTGAGATAGCGCCACAACCGTGTACGATGCATTCAGGAAACTTAACAGGTAGTTCAGATCAAAACGAAGCCTGACTTCCAAGATGGGTGTGGGCCAAGCAAGGGCACTGAAAGTGGGGAAGGGGCCATTGGCCCCGCACTTTACGCCGCAGGTCTCTAGTTGATCAGGTTAGTACATTTAGATGTGCTGTTAGTGAGGTTTGAAGTACATTTCAGTGAAATAATCAAAGTTACAAGAAGGCTGTTCACTGGACGTATAGCAGCTCACCCGGTGTGTTGAGAGGAACTTCGTGGAAAACAAACTCTCAAACTGCTCTCTGACATTTGTGACCAAATGAACCAAATTGTATGTAAAAACTTCATTAAAAGTTCAAGTTTTTGTCTTTTTATTGTTTTATTATTGAGTTAAGGGAGAAGATGGTCAACAGAACAGAAACAGAAAACCTCCTGGCTTTCCAACAGGACAGTTTTCTTTTTTATAATTCAGTGTGAAGAGCAAAGTGGAACGCAAAGGAAGCATGATGAATATTTAAACCATTACACAGCCATTATAGCTCTTTATGTAAATGCAGAGTAAAGTGCTGTGGTGGTTATTTATAGTCGCAGCAGGCTGTAATTGGCTTCAGTAGTTGTTTGGAGAGGGGGGTGACCTCAGCAGGGGGGGGGGGGGGGGCTCAGACCAACAGCTGTGTGACTGGAAGGTGATGGTTCAAATCCCTGAAGTGTAGGAACTCTCAACGGACAAAGTGAACGAGCATCACACTTGGTTTTGTAGCCGAGCCCCCGGGCTGCCTGCACAGACCTCTTCTGTGCAGACGGTGAGATTACGTCACCGCTGGAGGCAAAACCAAGTTAAGACGAGAGGCAAACACGAATCACCTCAGAGTAGTGGGCCAAAGTTAAACATGGAACATGTCGTGTTGTTGAGTGTACGAATCAAAGGAGTACGGCCCCAGCTTGAAATGATACCCCAAACATTTGAGATGACAAACTGTGATTTGGAGCCCGAGCTACATACAAGGTGAAGTGTTTTAGAGATGGAGAGAAAATGTTGCTAAACGCTTCACCAATATTGTATGGCTCTTTTTGACTTTTTTATTTTTGGCATCGTAGGCAGCTGTTGCCAACGCTGGAATAGGACCCTTTACTGCAGGATAGTATAGGCATCCAACGGTTTACACGCCACCCAGTTTCTCTTTACTCTGCAAGCTTGGCCTCTCTATCCGGTGTGTAAAAGTCTGGATATTGAGTCAGCGTGTAGGGGTCGGCTCTCGTTGGCTAATGTTACGTTTCACGAGTAACACTCGCGGTCCCGGAGGGTTAGGGCCTGTACATATTCAGAGACTTCTTCAGAATTTTTAAAAAAAAAACTAGCAAGAGTTAGCTAACATGGTCAGGGAATTATTCTCAATCCACCGACGCTCTGCTAACAAAAATTCGTCATCGTGTTTACGAACAGAAATGCGGTCTTTTTTACCAATGACATTGAATTATACATTCTCAAATGCTGTCCAACTGCTTTTGAGTACACATGCTGCCAACAAATGGCGTTAATTTACAGACACTTTGTCCGTACAACACACAGACGGTATATAAGAAGTGGACGTATAGTCATCGTGACGTCACCTGTTGGTTTGTCGTTTTGAGGCCTCAAGTTCAGCGATTTGTCCGACGCCGTCTTGGCTTTTTGCAACCAGTGAACGTAAGTTACCATATGTGGAATACGGAGGAGAGACGTAGAGACGTCTCTGGTAGCAGCAGCAACCTGTCAAACACCGTGTAGCCCCGCCCTAAAGCATACTTTGCTTTATGGTCTGTTTGAAGTAGTCATTTTCGCATAGACTTCTATACAACCAGAGGAGTCGCCCCCTGGTGGACATTAGAGAGAATGCAGGTTTAAGACATGAAGCATTGGCTTCATTCGTCAGACCCAGAGGTTGCCGTCTGATCCAACAACATTCGGGTCATTACAACACTCATTTAGCTTGAGTACCGAACCAAACTAGTTTATACCTGAACCTCATTCTCTCCCTTACCATACTATGCTTGTCGAGCACAGACACAATGGTATTGGAAGTTAAAAAATGATTGTCAATGAATGTGGAACGATGTAATCTGGGATTTGGCAGAATCGTTTGACATTGACATCGTTGCTCGCTTCTCCTGTAATGATGAGAATGCATCTCGTGATCAGAGCTGATAGAGACCTGCAGCAATACGACTGGAAGTTACCCGATCCAAACAGACTGAATATACTGTAGTTTGGGCCGAGGCAGACTACCTCTGGTTAGCCTGGTAGGTGAGTTTGGAGTAGGAAAAGACAAGTATGTGGAGCCTGTTAATGCAAAGACAGCAGTGCAGAAGGTTCACAGTTGAGTGGTGTGATTGACTTTGCGTCCAGGAGATGTTATGCTCCGCTGAGAGCAGCGGTGATTGAGGAGTCTGACAGCAGCAGCACAATACAACTGCACTATACGTGCTCTGTGTTTATTTCATCATACGTTTATGTTCATTGTTCATTGTGTGTATTTCTGAATCATCTACCATACACAAAAGGCTGTCGCTCATCAGTTTAACTGTTCAGTCTGCTGCTTACGCCGAGCAGGCGGTCCGAGTAAAGACCATGTTCAGCAGCAGGCCTGCAGGACGGATCAATGGCTGCGGTCTCCTAATGAAAGCAGTTCCTCAGCAACATTTATCTATCAC